AGCTCACCACAGGGAGGAAGCGCTCACCACAGGAAGAAGAGCTCACCACAGAAGAAGAGCTCACCACAGGGAGGAAGCGCTCACCACAGGAAGAAGCACTCACAGCAACACCTCTGAACACCACCCCCTGCTCCTTTATTCGGATTAGCAGCACTTTCAGTCCAAACATGACAGAATGAGAAATTTCAGAGCCAGCTGTGCAAAGTGCAATTCTGAGAACTGACTCAGTGACGTGCTGCCATCTGCGAGTGAGTACCGCACTCCAGGTCAGCAGCTGTCCCTGAGGCACCAACAGTCATTGTGGGAACCCAGGGAAAGAAGGGGACCCGGAGCATGGGGGGACCCAGGGCAAGGAGGGACCCAGGGCTAGAGATGCTGTCTCACAGACTCCTGGAGCTAGCAGGGACTCCATGACAGGACACGACTTTTCTGAGCACGGTGCAGGTACACACAGGGGAAGGCACCGCCCACCGAGGCCTCCACTTCTATGGCGAGTGTGACCAGCATGAAAGCCCAATGTGTGGGAGCAGGTGGCGCCCTGCCACGTGACTACAGAACAGTTCAGACACAGGAGTTGGGGGGATGAGCACCTCCGTGTGCCACGGCTATCATGGCTGCCAGCTTGCCGGTGGGGGCCTTCGCCTGGTTTGTGACGGGGTGCCCTCATCCACACGCATCTCCACCCCCTCCTACCTCCTCCATGCTCTGCTCTCTTTGCTAGCCCTGCCAAAATCCCAGCTCACCCCAGCTCACCGGGAATGGTGGCACATGCCTGTCACCACGGTCCTGGGCCAAAGTGCCTGTGTCACCAGCTGGCTTACGCTGACTTCTGGAAGTGTTTATTAGCATACTCGATACTCGATCCTCGGTTCCGGTTCCGTGTTCCCACACATACATGAGACGGGCTTCACTCCACTACCCTTAAGGTCCTGTGTGCACTCACTGAGCCTCTGTCCTGCTCGGGTGTCCCCAGGTGACCTTCTGAGTCCCCGTTCATCTTTCTAATGAGTGACTTACAGGAGGAGGGGGGCACCTAGCAGAGCCACACACTGACCCCCCCCCACACACACACACACATACACGCTTCCTACAGCTTCTCAGGAAGGGCAGAAGCTCCCCTCACTACGGAATGCTGGCAGGCCCAAGCTTGTGCAGGGCGTCAGGGCTGCTGAGCTCAGGAGCACAGCAGCCAAGCCGGGCCTGGGGACAGTGGTCTACATCCCGCCCCTTTCTGCAGCTCCCACTTTGTCTTCTCCACCCCTCTTCTAGACATCCCGGCCTGCGAGTGCAGGCAGCATGTGAGTGAGTGCAGGCAGATTGTGAGTGAGTGAGTGAGTGAGTGAGTGAGTGAGTGAGTGAGTACAGGCAGTGAGTGAGGAGAGCAGGCAGTGTGTGAGAGCAGGCAGTGTGTGAGAGCAGGCAGT